AGTTGCAGTCCTGTCGCAGCTGCCGTTAAAACCAGGAGCAAAATATGATTCTTGTTGCTTAATCTGGCTCATGAAGATCCTGAACTCTTCGAAAATGGTAAGTAAACAAAAACCATATCAGCAAACATGGTGATTTGAAAATTCATTACGTGGACGATTTGGCATGTTAGAAACTTACGTACGACTAATAAAATGTCCAACTCAAATATTTTCAGAAAATTGATATTGAAACTAGTCAGCAATGGTAACAGAATGAATGTATGATTACAACGCGTGGCGAGGGACTACACTCTCTATGATATTGACAACAAATAACCGGATGTTACCATCTCGATGTATCCAGGTAATTATTAAATGTACCACCATTTTTTAGTAGGTAAAGGTATTGACTTTATATTCTAGGGTTATAAAGAACTCGTCAGGAGCTTTTTCACTCTATAATTAAATTTCTACTTCCTCTTGCTTATGTCTAACTGGGTACAAAATTTTAGTTAAATAACATTACTTTTACTTGGTCAAAATTCAAGATTCAACCTTGTTTTACATTTGACTGTACAACCGTGTAGGAAATTGTCGTAAGAAATATAATGCAAAACAAAAGCACAAATCAAAAAACAAATGGCATAAAACAAGATATACAAAAGAAACAGTCATAGTGAACAGATCAGATAGCTAACAACGTGTTTGTAATTTGTCCTGAAAAAATTCATCAATGGTATAATATCTTTACATGAAATTGTTAGGTGATTATAAACTCCTATTCCCATGAAGTTTGGTGCATTAAACTGACATTTAGCCTTGCTATAGAGATATTTTTTCATAGGTGGAAATACTGATTTCATAAATATAGAGACAGGCAAGAGTAAAAATGTTGGGATTCTTAAGCACCAACCTACACAAGGTTGTGTTTGTGATACCAGCAATAACCCTAATAATCTTTTTTTGACATATAAGCTGAATCTACATCGGCCGATGCTAGGATGGCCCAGCTATCAAGAATACTACCAAATATAGGAGGTCCAAGTAGCCCTAAAAGGACGGTCCTTTGTAACTCCGTGGTCCTGTACGCAGCTCCTGTATGGCACCGTGTGGTCCAAGTCCAGAGATATAGACAAATGCTCTTGAGTATCCAGAGGAAGGCTTTGCTGCGGATATCGAGCGGCTACAGAACAATGTCCACTATGGCCGCTCAAGTAATAGCTGGAATAAGCCCAGTCACTCGGCTCATAGAGGAAAGGCTCCGAATGTACAGCAGGGATGATGCTAAGCTTCGTACTACCAGCTTGCTGGAAAGAAGCACAACTTTGGAGAAATGGCAGCGTGTGTGGAGCGACCACTCAGAGACGGCAATGTTGAGCAAGACTCTGATCCCGGACGTAAGACAGTGGGTTAGCTGTAAACACCGAAAGCTAGACTTCTACTTGACCCAGTTTCTATCGGGCCATGGATACTTTGGGGATTACACCAAAAGAATGGGAATCACGGAGGGCAGCATCTGCGGTTATTGCGGAGAGGAGGACTCCCCGGAGCACACAATCTTTGTGTGTCAAAGATGGGCCGCATGGAGGAGCAATACAGGGTCAGTTATCGGTGCGGAGGTCAATAGCAGAAGCATCACCATACTCATAATGAAAAGTAAGGAGAACTGGAACACAATACAGAGGTTCGTTCGTAATGTGATGAACGCAAAGCGCAGGGACGACATCTTGCACTAGCAGAAGAAACGAGCATATCCGCTGCGAATGCATCTGAAGACATGCCGCAACAAGTGGTGCTACCGGATGTAATCGCGAGCCAGAGAAGGTGGTTTAGTGGGTAGTCAGTCTACTAGAATGTAGCTGAAGTACCACACTCCCATGCGCGCTGGAACCACGGCGTATGGGGTCCGTAAAATGGATTCCACCTCCCGGTCCCCCTAGAACCACTAAAAAAAAAAACATCGGCCGATGACCCCAAACATAGATTCCATACCTTAGTCTGCTATCAATTAAGGTATAGTACAGGCACATGAGTTGACTGCTAAAAACAGTTTTCAGACATAAGAGGTTGAAGTGCGATTCCCATGTCTCATTGCATTCATCAGAGAGAATACCAACTAACTTAAGCTATATTTGCTCTTCTGATATTTCCATCGCAATCAATTAAAAGGACATTAAAATGGTGTCGGAGAATTTTGTATTGAATTATTTCAGTTTTTTCTTGGCGTAGGTATAAGTAGCTACTAGCGAAATAATGTGTTAACGAAACCATAAGCTGGGAACATTTTTCGTCAATCGGCATATATGTGTTATTTGATGTAATGAAGGAAAAGTAATCAGCGTAAGCCACGTAAATTTCATCAGAAAATTTGTTTTGATTCATGGACATATGGTAAAGAAAGGATAGGATATATCCTTGAAGAACGGCCCTTATTTATCTCTAAGCGAGTAGATTTTACCTGAACGTTATATGTATGTTCTTTCGCATGTTTTATGGATACAAATTAGCATCGGTCACCTTAGAAGCTATTTAACTAAGTCAAGCCATTACCACGCACACTCATCGTGTAAAATTTACCCTCATTAAGATTCTCAATAATATAATTGTAATACAAGGCAGATATTGTTGATTTACCCTCTCGGAAATCATGTTTCTCATCTGTCAGCACGTCGAGCTTATTTAAGAAGTCAAGTAACCTATTTAATAAGGCATATTCAAAAGCTTCATTTAGGCTAGATGATACAGTAATATAATGAAGAATAACTTTCCATTCTGTTCTATTTACTTTGTCATTGAGAATAGCGAATATTTCTACGCGTGCGATGCGGACATGTAGACGCATAGCATTATTCTATTAGTATACTCACCTGTACAAGAAAAGTGTCGCTTGGTAAACACGGTTATAATCAACATACCGCAAAACATAACCAATGCTAAAATCACTGCTAAAGGAGTTTTTCTTTGTTCAGTTTTTTCTTGGGCACCATCAACGTCCTTGTGCCATTTTTAGTTACTTGCACTATGGCACTTTTTGGAGTCACTGTGTTGATAATTTCACATTGCGCGGTATTGTTTATATATCCGTTCTTAGCACTCATTTGAAGTTTTATCACAGCCTTTTTGATTTTGGTTTTGTTACATTTTTGTGATGACCTTAGAAAATATTAGTTTAAGATTCATATGAAAGGTGTATTCAAACCACAGCGCTCATCGCGCCAGTAATCATACAGACTGCCATCATCTCCAAGATATTTGAAAAACTGCTGATAAAGCCAGTACAAACGTATCCCACGAAGTCTGACACGAGTGACTTATTACAAAAATAAGCAGGCAGTACGTCGAGGTAATTAGGTCATATATCTCAAACAGGGAATATGATTATTCTGATCTGCTGAATATCAATGCTGGAGTACCTCAGGGCAGTATTCAAGGTCCAGTTCTGTATATATCACATATTCCTTCATGAGCAATGTAATAGTTGCAGCATTTGCGGATGATACAGCATTGACTGTAACGGACAAAAATCTATTACGTTACATTAGAAGTACAATAATTAGAGAATGGACCCAGAGGTGGAAAATCAAATTGATCGAATTGAACTCGATACCATTGGAGTCAAACCACAGGACACCAGGATCTAGTGGAAGCACCATATTAAAAAAACAAGAGGGAATAACTGAACCTCCGCTACTGACAATATTATTGGTTATTGGGTAAATTCTCAAAGATATCACTCCATAACAAAATCGTGATCTGTAATGAGATCTTAGGGCCAGTGTGGCTCTTTAGTTACCAACTATGGGGCTATTTTAAGAGTTACGACATCGAAATGATTTAAAGATTCCAAAACAAAGTTCTGAGGAACAAGGCTGCATGTACACCTCAATGCAGACGCTCTTCAGCTGCTGGACAACTCCAATACCATCCGACGATTGAAGAGGACCAAGTGGTATGATTTTGTGTGAGTTTTGTGCGTGAGCTCCTAGTTGTAGTATTAATGAAACGTTAAGATTATCTAAATGACATCAATGGATTGCCTCTAGAGATAAGTATTAGTTGTAATAAGATAAACGAAAATTATATACAGGGTGGCGCATCGAAAACAAAACAGACGCATTTACTGGCAGCTCAGTATTTTTTGGAAAAACGCTCAGACCTGTCGATTTTGTTTTCGAGGGGGACACAAGTTTGACAAAAAATCACGTTACCACGTGCAGCCCCCTAAGCGGGGGTGACACCACCCCCAAGGAGTAATTTGAAGGCACTCATTCACAATTCTTTGTCGCAGGTCTTCTAATGATTTTGGCTTAATAGCATAGATTTTGCTTCTTAAATGACCCCACATAAAGAAACTCAAAGGTGATAAATCCATTCAATGGCACCTCTTCTACCAATCCATCGATCTGGAAACGTCTGATCTAAATATTGTCGAACACGTAATGCGTAATGTGGTGGGGCACCATCCTGTTGGAACATCAACCTATTCGCAATGTACCACCGATCATTCTGATTTTCAATTATGGCTGTTAATGCAGGATCTATGGCGTCTTCCAGTAATTCCAAGTACATTTCACCGGTCAAATTTCAAGGTAAAAAAAAGTACCAACTAAATGATCGCCAAAAATACCAGCCCAAACATTTAATTTTTGTGGCTGCTGTGTATGAACCTCATGATAAATTCTGGGATTAGAATCGGACCAATATCGGCAATTATGACGATTTACTACGCCATTTAAGAAAAAGGAATATTTGTCGGAAAAGCAAGTGTTGAATAGAAAATGTTCATCGTTTATAATTTGTTCACTCATATCTTCACAAAATTGTAATCGCCGATCAAAATCGTCTTCATTAAGTTCTTGTGCCAGGTGAATTTTATACGGATGAAAACTATGGGCCTTTAGAATCCGTTGGACAGTACGTCGACTAACACCACACACAGTCTCCAATTTGCGGGTACTTAACGTACATAAACTTGCCCTAAAACCCCCACTTCTATTGCTTCGTTCCTTATGGGATTTTCAATGTTGCGTTTTTTATTGGCGACTGACCCAGTTTCCCGAAATTTAGCTACAAGTTCTAGGACATATTTTCGATGCACGTTATAATATTTCTGCTGTTCTATTAGCGCACTGATTATTTCCGAAAAATATTTCGATAATTTCAACTCTTTCTGCTGTGGAATATACCATAGTTAATTTATGTAATAAAGGGTTACAGGTTATTTTAGCAACAAAGATTTTAGGGTTGGTGTCACCCCCGCCCAGGGTAACGTGATTTTTTGCCAAACTTCTGTCCCTCTCGAAAACAAAATCGACGGGTCTGAGCGTTTTAAAAAAAAAACTGAAATTCAAAGTTTCACAACAATACGTGCAGTGTTCTCACTACAGTGAATTTTTAAGTGTCACCAAGTCATTAGAAAAATAGAACCCAACCGAGAACATTTTCGCGCCATAATTTATTACAACTTTCAGAGACAATTATCGCAACAAGAATGCCTTGCTGAGTTACTGTCTGTTTTCGGCAACGAAGCGCCACATCAGTCGACAATTATTACCCGTTGGTATGGAGAATTCAAACGTGGACGTAGCGACGATTCCAGGGTGGGTGCACCAAAAACGGCAGTCACCCAGGAAAACATCGATGCTCTGCGCAAACTCATCATTGAAGGTAGACATGTGACATATCGCGAGATTGAGGCGTCCTTGAAGATCTCAAAGACCTCAATTCAAAAAATTTTACATGAAGTTTGGGGGTGAAGAAAAGCCAACAAAAGTCATCCGTTCTCGAAGTGTTTTGAAAAAGATGGTCGCGACATTTGTGTCAAAAGCGGGTCATATTGCAACAATTCCTCGTAATGAGCAAAGAACTGTTACTGCGGATTGGTATACCACCATTTGTTTGCCAAAAGTCATCACTCAGCTTCGAAAAATCAACCCCGAAAGAAGAATCATCCTCCACCAAGACAATGCAAGCTCGCACACAGCCCAAAGAACAAGGCAGTATTTAACGGAAGAAAACGTGGAATTATTGGACCATCCTCCATATAGTCCCGATCTAAGTCCTAACGATTTGTTTACTTTCCCGAAAATTAAAAACAGACTGAGTGGTCAAAAGTTCCAGTCACCAGAAGACGCGTTCAAAAATGCCGTTTTGGATCTGCCAGCAATTCTAAAAGCATCGTCAAACTGGCATTGACTCTGGATTGCAGTGAAGCACATCTTACTGTGAAAGATATAAAAACAAAATGTAGCATTCGATTATGTGATGGAAGAGTTTCACCAGATAAAAACATTTACTATCTATGAAAAAACGATGCAATAAGTGCATATAGATGCACTACTATGTTTAAATTTCTCTGTAATGTAAAAAAAAAACGATGAGTGAAATATCCCAGAACCAGTTTTCCATTATGGTCGAAGCCTATTTAGAGAAAATTAGATCTGATCAATTTAAATTGAAACCTATTAGCTCCCAGCATCGATTAACGTATTCCACTTGATGGAAGCCCCCAGTCACAAATCGTGAAAAAGTCAATTACTCTGTGTCCTCAAAACGCATCGATTGGAAAAGTTAATAGGATTCAAAGATGTAGATGATTAAATTTTGATACCACTTTCATTAAAGTATTGCAAACAGTAATTTTAAGATTATCTGAATAAAATGTTTTATGTGTCGATGGTGGTACATTATGAATAATTAATCGGAATTTTTATCAAGCACGTGAAGCTCGGTGCTAGTGTGATAAAAAATGATAGCTCTATCAAGCCAACCATGTCACACACACACTACAACTTGCTTACACTGTCTCTTTATTGGTTGAAAGAGCTGCTATCACAGTCTCGAATGCATCTCATGCACGCACTCTCCTAAAACTGTCTAAAATCTCAGAATCATTACAGAAAAGTGTTTGGATGAAAGCAAACAGTATTTAATGATCTACAGTTTCGACGGCTTTTCTTAGAAAGATAATTACAATTACACTTTGTAGCTATTGACTGTCGCAGCATTAACCATACCTTCTGATAAACTGTTCCAAGTGAAGGTTTCAATCAAATTCTCGAAGTTTTGGGGCCAAGTCATAGAAATTCGGCAACTTTGAGTATTGCTCGTACGGGTTTAAGACAAGTTAAATCAAAGCATTTGCCAAAAATGGTGGCAATTTCAGCCGCAAATTGCAGACGAGTGTTCGAAACTTTGAGGCGTCTTTTGAAACAGTGTTCTCGTCCATCTCGTCGCCTGTCTCACGAAGGGTCCTAACTGACAAAATAGCAAACATTGAGATAACCCGCATATAGATGTATTATTCCATGCCGGTTAATCTGACTTAGAGGCATAACTATATATCTATTAGTATAGGTAACAAATCATTAACCCCTGGGTGTCTTATCTGTCAAGGTAAATGTATAATTCCCACGAAGAGACCTAAACGAGGATAGGTCTCTTAGTATGCTATAATCGTTGCTATACTACGACTATTTAAAACTGTAATGACTCATACGCGTGATCAACACGTGATCAGAGCTCGATCCCGGCTTCCTTCCAGTACAGCCGTATAGCGTACGACATATGTCGTTTCTGTGGCTTTGCGGTGGTCAACAGCACAGACAGAGACAGAAATAATGGCTGATTGTTCTCCGCCGGTAGAACCAATGAAATCAAAGACGCGCCTCGACCGGCAGACTCATAGGCGTCGGCAACGCATTGGAACGTGTTTCGTTGAGCGATCGCATATTGTGTGTTTTTATAAGAATTGTTGTGTGATTGTTATTGTTGTGGTTTCTGTGGTTACTGTTTTGGTTATACTTAACCATGGAGAGTACAAATGGCACGAATGGAAGTACTGAAAGTCAGGGAACAAGTAGACGGCTTCGTAAAGCACTGAAGAGGGACGCGAAAGAAATCATGCTCAACGTGTTCAATTATCTGAACGGAACTATGTCGCAGGGAGATGCACTCGCGCGTTGTGAAAGTATGACAGGCGTTCCAGAGTGGACCATTCGCATGGTGGTGCATGAAAAGAAGAAAACTGGAGCTACTACTGATCCAAAGTTTAATTTGAAGGGACGAAAGGCCGTTAAATTGGATGACGATAGCAAAATGGCGTTAAGGCGAACCATACATTCATTCTTCTTTAGGAATGAGATACCAACCCTCAAGGCTGTACATGCAACGATCAAGGAAAATGAAATTATACCCCAAATGAGCGTCGAGGTAATGAGGAAATCCCTGCACGAAATTAATTTTCGTTACGAAACGCGTAATCGGAAGTTAGTATTGATAGAGTGACCTGAAATAGTCGCCTGGCGTCGAAAATACCTACGCGAAATGATTGAATATAGGCGACAAAGCAGAAAAATCTATTATTTGGAGGAGACATGGGTAAATGCAGGTCACACAGTTAAAAAAACCTGGATAGACAAAAACGTAGTGAGTAACCGACAAGCAAGCATTGAAGGTCTGTCAACAGGTCTTCGTGAACCGTCAGGGAAAGGTCAAAGATTGATCGTAACTCATATTGGTAGCGATAGTGGCTTTTTAGAAGAGTGTGACTTGATTTTCGTCTATAAGAAAGGAGGTGATTACCATGACGAAATGAATGCCAGCTGCTTCGAGAGCTGGTTTCAAGGGGTGCTTCAGCGAGTTGAGCCCAACTCTGTGATCGTCATGGATAATGCTTCCTACCATAGTCGTCGAGCCGAACATGTACCGACTATGGGATCTCGAAAAAGTGACATGCAGCAATGGTTGCGCGAAAAAGGAATCCCGTTTGACGATTCATGTGTGAAAACGGAATTGTATGAAAAAATTAAACAGCACAAACCTGCCAACATTAGTTACGTGACTGATGAGATGGCCCGTCAATGTGGTGTCACTGTGCTGCGGTTACCGCCCTACCACTGTGAACTGAACCCAATAGAGCTCATCTGGGCTCAAGTGAAGGGTTATATTGCGCGCCATAACACAACCTTCAAATTACCAGACGTTAAGGTTTCACTTGAGACTTCCATACAGCTAGTAACGCCCGAAGCTTGGCAGAATGCTATCCGTCATGTTGTGAAGGAAGAAACAAAAATGTGGCAGCTTGACCACCACATGGACACCATCATAGAGCCAGTTATAGTCAATTTCAACGAGGAAAGCGATAGCGACAGTTTATTACTGTCAGATGTAAGTGGAAGCGACGATGAATAAAGGTAATTCCCAAATTTTTGACTTACAATATGTTTCAAACCACTCTTTATTAAGCATGTGAGAAATCTAGTTCACCCATGTTAAACAATCATACCCCGCCTATGAACAGCCGACTACTGGTAGTTAAGTGATGTTCACGTGAACATCGATGAGTCATTACAGTTTTAGATAGTTATAGTATAGTATACGCACCTCGGTCATGGCTAAAGTGAAGGGAGACTCTGCCCACAGTGCAATTCATACTGCGGTAAAGGGAGCTGGAGATATTTTTGAAGTCTCACAATTCTATTCGGTTTTTCGATTGGCCAGAAGACGTCAACCTTATTTAGTAATCCCAATGAATATTTTGACTTCAAGGAACTTTCAAAACATTTCAGAATGTTGTCCACAAGCCAAACTGAGAAAGGGCAAAATATAAAATGGACGGGTATTATGGACTTTATGGTAATAAAAGACATGCCCACCAAAATATGTTTCAAGTTTAGCCACCATGTTACTAGTTATGACAGTATTGAGTTAAAAAGACCGTTGAGAAATAGTAATAATATAAAGGATATTAAACTACAACAACTTAATAAGGAACCAGCAAAAATAACAAAAAAGAAATACTCCGACAAAATTTCCTTATGTGAAAATCCAACACCCGTTGTACGCTTACCATAATGCCAACACTTTTTTAGAAATTTGCCCCATGAAACGGAATGAAATGAGTATTAAAACTGTTGCCTTTGTTTTTATGTGTATCATAAAACATCAAAATTAGCTGGTAATATGTCAAACGATAATGTTTAAGTTAGTTGTTTTTCTTTTCGTTTTTATTTCAATAAAAATTGCTTTGACGTTTCGAGTTGTTTTCTTCATCTCATCACCTAATATTTGTGTCATAATCTACATCAATTTTAGGCTTGGACATTCAGAGAAATGTTGTAGGAGGTATCCAAAATTCAAAAGTCGATCTGAACTTTTTTACAAAAATTCTGCTGTCAGCAGACCAACGATTACTTAAAAAATTATCAATCAACACATTTTTTGAGATAATCGCCCCTTTGGCTGTAAATATGATTCTTTGCTTATAAGTAAATGAAATAAATTCTGTATATCTGTAATAATAAGAACTTTAATAAAAGTATATTTTAGCCCTATGTGAGAAAAAGCTTCTGAAAATTGTCACGAAGTGACCTACGTGCGTTTTCCATTTTGTTCCAAAATAACTTGATAAGCTAGCGTAAATATTGAAACAGCATATGATCGACAATGAATATGGGCTGATGCACTGACATGTTCAATTCCGAAATATCTAAACTTTACATACAATGCTCATTCAACAATACCCTGATTTCGTTTTCTTGCTCTCCTGTAAAACTTACTAAACGTTGGTTAGGACACTTCGTGAGAAAACCGACGATCTGGACAGCTTAGGGATGTTATATTCAAAAAATATATTGAAAATGGCCTTTCATATTATGAAGCTTAGTAAACTATTTTAAGTATACCGTGCTTTTATTTAGTATGCCTTCAAAGTGAATTTTATCCTTGTATAACCCCTTGTTGGAGGTGCCACCAATGGCCAAATGTGCTGTAACCCTCAGAACAGTTAACATGTCATTCTGAGTATTTTCTCTCACAAAGACACCAATAAACGCCTAGCGATTGACGTCGTACAGTTTCTTTCCTTCTATTGTCTCTTGTGTATCATTTCCACAATGTATCCCTGAAGAGTTGTTACTCTCCACTCTGTATGATGGCGTGCTCTTCGATTTCCATTACGACTGCAATTTCCATGAAATTGCGCGCACCAGCTACGCCGCTTGATGGGAATATAAAGCGGTTAGCGCTACTAACGTCATTATATCTAAATTAAAATCTCTAACCGCTATCCTGCTCAAACATAATACCTATACAATTTCAAAGCGACATTTTTCGCTCGATTAAGCTATGTTTGTGTAACGTATAGATAGCGTCAGTTTGATAAAACATGTTCTACCCGTTCTCATTGCTGTGAA